ATGAGCTAGTCACCTAATCAGAATGCCCGAAAATACTTCCAAACGAAAATATTCACATACTCGAAAGAGAGTCTGAAACTGAGATGACTAGACTGTCTGTAGAAAGACTTGTCAGAGTCATTAATTGGAATACTAAGGCCAAGAGTAGAACAGCCTGGAATGAAATTCTAAACAAGGCCAGGACCCATAATACGCTATCAACTCGCTGAAGAAAAAAATATTTGCACAACACTAATCTCTTTGACTGCACAACGTACTTTAAGACTTAATGATAATTTCTTTAAATGCGAACCCTTTAAGAGAATTTAATCCTAAACCTTATGTAAAAACTTTTTTGAAGAATCATCACTGAGCCCTACTTAGATGCGAGAGAAAAAAATATGCGGCAACATCTGGCATAATTTGTGACACATAATTACATTTACACATGATTTTACACACACTATGTAATATTTTGTGATTTTTTATTATTATTTTTAACGTTTTCTTGTTAATATACAGTTATTCATATTTTCATTTTGCCCATGAAATATTTCATTAGAATTTGATATTTTGTTCTATAACATAAAGTGAAAACTTTTCATTAAAATTTTCACAGTTCACCACTGAACATTAATTGTTAGTAAATCACATACATTCCCAACCAATATAATTCTTTCATGGGCACCTCACTATTTTATTTTCAGTGATATATGACAAAGTATATCATTAAAGAAAATTATTTTTTCGCTTTCAGCCACTTCAGTATTTTATAATAATCCAAGAAAAGTAAAAAATAAGCTTTATAACCTCTTCCTAATACAAATTAAATGGCATATTATACCTTTTTCAGCTATATTACTTTTTGTTAAAGAGAAATTGTGAAGAACACAGTAAGATTCATTATTAGAAATCTGATGTAGCCAGCCAACAAGCTTTATATAAAGTATTACTTCTGGATGATTGCTCGTAATTAATATCTAATTTGTTTATGAACTTTATGGCCCAATGTTAACTATAAACAGTACTCAATTTTTTATTATTCTATTCTCCCATACAATCGATGATAACTATACTTGTTCATGCTTTAATTTGAAAATATCACATTGATCACAGTAAATTCTCTGGTCATATAGTGTTTTGGATTCAAAATCAATTAGCAGTCAAATTTTTAGAATTCCCAACACAGTGTTAAGTATAGCCATATATTTCTTTTTATATTTGGCATATTATTTATATTTATTATTCCTTTAAAAATAAAACATAGTGATAACATATGTAGGCAACATCATTTTATCTGAAAAAGTGATATGACACAAAAGCGAAATGATTGAGGCTAATAATACAGTCAAAAGTCGTTAATCCGGACTCGTCAGGACTTCGGCGATTACGGATTATCGATTTTTCCGGATTATAGATCATCAGTTTAAATCTGGTAGGATGGCATGCAGAAATTACAAAATTAAAAATATGAAACTGTAATTTATGAAATAAAGAACAATTATGATCTAAAGGGTATCAAAATTTACAAAAAGAAAAAGCTTAATATTTATTTGTTTACTTTATTAAACATTTCTTTCAATGTAAGTTGCTTCGTTTCATGTGATAATACTTTCTCTTTAATTCTATTAAACAGACATAATTTCTTGTTTAGTTACAAAGTTCCGCTGTTCAAGTCCTATAATTTGCTGTGTTGAGAATACCGACTAATTTGTCAATCGAAATGTTTTCGTTTTCAATAACCTCTGGGTCACTTTCTTCACTATCGGAAGCGAATTATAATGACGAGGAACTTGATTTAAATCATATCAAAGACGCCAATACTACACTTAGTAAGGAATTATAAGCCAAATAAAATAAAATCATCTGCCCTGAAGATAAGGATAGTGCTGACAGATCAACTTCCAATCCGCGGCGTGAAATTGATAAACAGATTTCGGATTTCAAAACATACTCTCGCTTTGTAGATACAAATTACATATTAGTAAATATATATATCGGAAATTCTATTTGACATAATCGAAAGTTCAAGCTTACTTTTATGAAATTGCTCTAACAGTCTGCAAAAAATAATAAGCCGGATCCAATTCGAAGATTAAGGAACAACGCAATCTGCAACATTAACTGAATTAGATAATTTTAGCTTAGCTTATACCTCCATTACACATTAAACGCGCATGCGCACAAACATATTCGCAGCCGTAAAGGTCTTACGCGCACTCTTAAACGCCTGTGCGCATGCGTGAACGCGACGCATGCGCAGAAAGTTTGTAGCTTTGAGGTCCGGATTATAGATCATTCCTGATTATGGGTGTCCGAATTAACGACTTTTGACTGTATTTAATTGCTTCATAGCAAAAGCTTGCCTTCAGAATGAGTTTATTCTTAATGCATTTAGCATAATTCCAAGAATATATTTCATGCTTATAAAAGTAAAATATTGTTCTCAAGTACATACTTACTTTAAATACCAAATCTGAGAAGTTCTGGATTATCTCACAATATATTTTTTTATGAAAGTCTGTTCAAAGTTTCAAACAAAGAATCCCTTCCAGTTTTATCAATTCTGCCAAATCTAGTAAATGTTGCTTCCGTTAATACTAAAATTGAAAACTTTTGGATTATATTTTAAAATAGTTTTTCATTAAGAACTGTTAATGAGCCTCAAGTAAAGTACCACTTTGAATTGTCCACTGCTATGGGTTTCATGCAAAGTACCACTTCCGGTTGTCCAATTTTACCCAAAATCTAATCAACTCTTGACATGAATGTAGAAAGCTTAAATATGGAAACAGAAATTTTTGAATTTCATATATGAGTTATCATGGATGAAAAAAATTGCAACATATACATGCACATCATTATAATAGTAAAAGCGTGTTGTGATTTGTGTTTATTCACTGAAAATTCACTATCCAATTTTTGGACTGAAAACATTAGCTTACTTATCTATAGAGGTTGGCAGGAGGTAGAAATTGTGAGTGCCCTTTTTCCCCTTTAGCGGATCTGTCATGTTCATGCATGTTTCTTGGGCTCAAAGTACCACTTATAGTTGTTCAGTTTCACCTAAAATCTAATCAACTCTTTATATGAATGTTAAAGCTTAAGTAATGAAAAAAGAAGCTTTTGAAAGTTTCATATAAAGAATTATCATGGACAAAAAACTGTCACACATGTTTGTCAGACTGTCATGGGCACACAGCCATCATTCTAAAAATAGTAAAAGCATGTTTTGGAGACCCTAATTTATGCTTATTCACTGACAACTAACACTAATAAAATTTTTGTTAATGAGATATCTGGGAGCTTAATGATGATTTTTTTTCCTTTTGTTTTATTGGGTTAAGAGAAAGTAAAGAATTTAACTAGTATTATGAATTGGTTATGATACTTTATATAGACCTTATTATATCAAAATACTTTTGTAACCAGTGATAAAAATTTCTGCATTATTTACTACCTTCGTGAAAAGTTTGTTCATCTTTACAGCCTATCAGCAGAATATACTAACAACATGCAACAGAAGCCAAAGTAAACATATACAGTTGACTGTATTGATTTATTATGAATTTTTATGAAGTATGACTGAAGTACATTTGCATGAAATATTGAAGTTGCTTTATTGACCAAGTCTTCATCTTACAGCTTATCAACAAAACATACCTGCAGTATGTATCAGAAGCCATAGTAAATGCTTGGCAGACAAGCAACTATGTACCGGGTGATCTAAAAGCAACAGGAAAACTGGAAATTAATAATGTGAAGAACATAGAGAGCAGCACAATGCAGTTTTTACAGAAATGTATGTGTGTGTGATTATGGCAAAGCCTCGAGGGCTATCTGCCTAAAGGGAGGGATGCCTTTTGTGGAGGACTTTCTAAGGGAAACTGGCTCGTATACATGTTATGGGGAAAACCATGAAAACGCCCATGCAGCCAGCCCCGTTCGCGGGATTCGAACCTATGACCGAGCTACCAGTGTTCAGCGACTTTACCGCTCGGCCGCTGTTGGGCCTTTTACAGAAATGCACAGAATGACATAATAATTTTTTTAATGAAATGTTTTATCACCAGAATTAGTTGCTGGTAACTTTTGGTGATGGGGCTACTTAAAGTTACAATGTACAGATGCTGATGAATGTTTTTGGTTGTATCAAAAGTTAATCTCCATATTGTAACAGCTGAAACTTCTTCGATGCTGTGCAATGTTGTGCCAGCTCAACAGCCAATAAATTGAACATCTGTAATCCTAGCTGCATTGTGAACTGTGCTGTGCCATTGTGTGAACTTATAACACAATTGATGCACTACCTGTTCATGAAAAACATAACTACCCTGTTCATAAAATCTTTCATGGTTAGATAAATGGCCATATCGTTCTGTGCAAATCCTGACCTGCTACTGTTTTTAATTATTGAATGTTTTCTGTTACATATGGATCATCCTGTATATTTCATTATTAATTTTATGAAACATAATAAGATACTGAAGACTGCTTTATCTGTAAACACTATTGTTTCTGAATTTTTAAAAAACTATATGTTATCTTATTTCACACCAAAATGCAATTTACTAGAAGTTGAAATATATATATATATATATATACACACATATAAACTGATTCCACTTTGAATTTGCATGTACTTATTTTCAACATTTAAATTGTTTACAGGAAGACAGCTAAACTTTTTATAAAACTTCAGTTGGTCATTTTATCGTTTAAATGTACATACAAAGTTCATGAAGATTTTAAACTACAAGTACTGAATATTCTTTTATTCTGCACACGTCAACGGCAATTTAATAGCTATGAGAATAAATCTTATTAGTTTCATTTTAGACCTGAAAGCAAGTATGTGATAGAAGAGCGAAATTCTTGTCTCGGAATAATCAATGAAATATAGTGCACATCTTTTTATGACCATTTCCCCTTTAAAAAGCACCTTATAGAAAATCTTAAATACTCTTTAAAACAATTCTTCAGCTACAATAAAATATATTTCACAATTAAGGAACATAAACTTTTGTTAAATAATACAATTTATTAATCAGAAAAGTAAACTAATTTTCAGGTGAACAACTGACATTTACACTAATTATTATCAAATAAGATATTATACATACAATTGATATGCAAATATCGGGAAGTGATAAGATAATTTTGTAGTACTAAAACATACAAATAATGTTGAAATATTTCTTTTTAAATGAAATGTTTTAATAATTTTTTAAAATAAAATATTTTTACTGCTTAAATGTTTTTAAGGCCACATTACCACTTCACATTATTATTAATGCTGACATAAATTGAAACTAATTATTTTCCACATTTTATTCCTTTCTGCCTTATTATGTACCATGTCTGAGTGAGTTAAGGGTAAGTATTAAATATATATTTTAAAGTTTTTCAATGTAATTATTTTATGCACATTACTTTAAAATGATACCTTTCCCAATTCAAATGATTTACACAAAAATGTATTCTGATTTAAAAATCCCAATGTAGACCCCCCCCCAAAAAAAAAGAAACTGAAAAGAAAACAATAATTCATCACCTCATTTTCACATATTAACTGATAATAAAATTCAGCACAACTCTTTCAGTGTTAAGATTAATTTATCAGATTATACTGATTGTGTCTTTTATGTTTGCCAGGATACATATAACATTTCCTGCTAAGATGCACAAGATAGTCAAAATGTCACTAGCTATTAATATGATCATACCAGCATTTTAAAGTTCTGAGATTTTTATTATGATGCATAAAGAATAAGAAATCTCTTTATGATAATGAAATTATTTATAATTTAATATAAAACATTAAATTAGGAAGTTATAATTTATATACATCAATAGCTTTATATATTATTCATATAAAATACATAAAATAGTATACCACAGCATATATTATAATTGTATAAATTAAAAAGTAATAAAAATATATTGCTAATATATTTAGCTGCACAATTTCAGGACGTTTCTAAGTATTTAAAAAGTAAACATCAGATGACATACATATAAAATTAACAATAATATAAATGATACACATGGGGGTAATTTTTTAAAAAATCTTCCATATAATTCATGGAACATAAAAAATAGCTCCAAACATTTAAACAAAATTATCATGAATATTGTTAAATAAGAAAACTATATAAAGTTATTATTATTTCTTGCAAAAAAAAAAAAAAAAAAAAAAAATTTAATTTAGCTTTCACGGTTACAAAGCAAACAAGATGTATTGCATCCACATTGCTTCTAAGAAATCCTGTAAATTTTCACTTCTAATAAAAAAAATATTAATTACTGTCAATAAGTCAATACTATAGATATAATAGCCGGAAAATAAATGCCAAAGCAGCCTCAGGATATAATTTTGCCCGCAATAATTTGATATGTATGCATTTTAATTCGTATTTTCAATAGTATGCATTAAAAATTAATGATATAATAATAAAAGAAAATACTTGGTTGGCTATTTATGACGACAAGGAATGTTTGAATGAAAAATAATTAAAATTGGCAGTGGTGATAATGTATGCAAGGTCCCTATAAAAAGTATCTGATTTTGCCTCTAAAACAACAGAATCATCAATAATCAGAATGTCATTTGTAAATTTCATATTTAAAACTCTCCATTTGGTAGAAGGGGGGAATGCAGAATTAATATTTCTGAACTTTGGTCACATAAATAACAAACTAATATTCAAATATATACCACAATTTTTGCTTATTACAATTTTCAAACATGTTAGGAGTGCTAACAGCATAAAAAAATTCACAGGATAAACATATTTTACAATTATTTACATCTTTAAAAAAAGAAGCTCACATATAATGCAGACAATTTATGAATCATCTCACTCATTGCCTATTGTGACAGTAATCTGAAAATGCTTACATTGCTTGCTATGAATGCTAACAGACCTAAAGGCAACATTTAATCTTGAGTCAAACATATTTAATAAAAATTACATAACACTAAACTACAATACTGTACATAAAATATCTACCAAAATAATAGTATGATGTAAATAAATATGGCTGGATAATTCCTCTAGAAACAATACTTTTAACTTCATGTTTCAGCACTCTTGCTCAGTCTAGTTAAAAAAAATGTTCCAAAAACACTTTTTAAAGCAGTCCCTAGACCCTGAAAGATAAAGATTATATATGGATTACAATGCATACAAGTTTAAATTTAGAGAATTATACAATATGTTGGAATTCAGTCTGTTTCCAAGGTAATAATTAACTAACAATGGTATTAAACTCTTCTTTAAAATAATTAATTTGCATGAGATTCAATGCAATGTTCTCATTTTCATTAAGTGGTGATGAAGTCTGCAATAACAGTTGCATAACTGCTTTAAATTCTGCTAAAAAGAGCAAAAATCATATTTATGAAATTTCTCATAGTCTATACATCTTCTGCTTCAGTTATAAAATTCAATTTATTTTAAATAATCAACCATGCTGATAAAATACAATTTTCTGAAATATGTTCGAAATTAAAGATTAATAAAAATAATAAATAAATAAATAACTAGCATTATCTATTTTATGGTTTAAAAAATTTTGTGTAAATACACTGATCCATATACTTTAAGGCAGCACAAATGATAATACAATCTACAAATAAAAGAAAAAGAAAAAATACCTTACCCCCCTCCCCCCCAAAGGAAAAAAAAAAGCTAAAATAAAAAGGTAATAGACTGCAAGGACACTACGTAAACTCCTGCAAGGACACTATGTAAACTCCAGAGAAGAGCTAGAAAATAATATATTTCTAATATATCATTAAACGATAACTACTAATATTCTACTAAATGTCAGGCCCACCAGCGGCTGAGCGATAAAGATGCTGAACACTGGTAGTTCGGTCCGAGGTTCGAATTCCACGAACGGGCTGGCCCACCCGTTCGTGGTTTGTTTTTGTGGTTTTCCCCATGTGTAATGTGTATACGAGCCAGTTTCCCTTAGAAAGTCCTCCACGAAGGCATCCCTCCCTTTAGGCAGATAGCGCTCGTGTGCTTTGCCATAACTAAATAATCCAATTAAATCCAATCCATCTACTAAATGTCAAGTAAGCTTAGGAAACAAAATGCTAAACTTAACTCTTCATTAAAACCAGCTAAATGCAATATTGTGTTAGCATTAATTTCAACATAAATAAAAAACTCTTGTACCATCTTAAGGAATCCAAAGCAATGCACGTGCATACATCAATATATTTAAAATTTTGCTTCTGAAAGCATTTAATTTCTATGCTGAAACTGATATAAATAATAAAACTGTCCTTTTACTGGACCAAGGGTTTTTAACAAAACATCTGACAAATATATCACCTAACATTTAAACCCTGAACACTTTCCCATATGATAAACCATTCTTCAGAAAATAAAAAACTAGCAGAGCTCATTTTTAAAAATAACTAATCTCACCAGAAAGTAATTATTTTATTAAATCTTCATGCAGTCCACTAAAATATTTAATTTTTTCAACAACATAACTGGCTGTTTTACTTTTTTTGAGGTGAAAATTAATTAAGCATGAAAAATTTAATTTGATAGAGACTACTGATATAATTAATTATCTCTTTTTGCCATTGAAAATGACCTTGATCTGAAGGTGGCCTTTTGATAACTACGCTCATAATTGGAAATAACTGTGTATTGTTTTCATGTTGACAATTCATAAAGATCTGAATAACTAAAGCAGATGGGGGGATTAGAAATTTTATTAACATTATGCAATAACCATTTTTAAAAGTGAAGAGGGAAACAGCAGAGCCCATAGCACCGATATCCACATAATCCCACTGCACCAATATCACTAATTTTACTCAAAAGAGGGATGACTATGGTAAATAGTGATAAACATAAACTCACAACTTTTCTGAAGTTGAAAATACACATCAGTTTTAACCTTTGCTTACTGAGCAAAAGCTAAAACTACTGAATAAACTCAACTATGATTTAAAGAATAAATATCAGCTCCCTGCAGAACAGTGTATATGCTCTAACAAAAGCGGGAAGCAAACATGAAAACTACCACAGCATTCTGGTAAAATCGGTTTCAGGCTTCTGAAAATCTGTTTTATAGAATTTTTTTTCAAATGCTGTCAAAAATTATTGTCCTTTTTTTAAAATGTTTCTGAATTGTATCGGGCTGCTGTCACAGACTAATGACAGGCATTTATGCGTACGTCTAGTGTAGAATTAAAAAAAAAAAAAAGGGGGGGGGGAAGAAACTTCCACAACATTGCCAATTTAAAGATAAAAATTTTACACCAATGCCCAGTAGATTTCAGTACTCTACAGCTCTACTAGCACTAGCACTAGTCACATAATTCTAATGCATAAGTATACAAAATTACAGACTACAAATAAACAATGTAACTAAATACATAAAAACACATTCAATATCAGAAAATTAATTGATACGATATATACAGTAAAATACACACAAAAATAAGAATAAATAAATAAATAAAGACAAAGAAATAAAAAATATCATGCAATAAAACAAAATTAAATTATCATTAATATTCATAGATGCAGTTAAATAATGCTTTTCTCAACAGAAATTCTTCAGATTTACTGAATAAGCTGACAAATAATAGAAGTCTCTCGTATAAAAAATGTAGTCTATTCCAATATGTTTGTTTCGTTATGTGAATATGAATTTCCCACAGACTACTATGAGCTATAGCTGATATGAGAATAATTTTAATGCATTACCAAGGTTGCTCTAAAATTACAAACATCATAAAAAGTTTTGTTTCATTATGTGAATATGAATTTCCCACAGACTACTATGAGCTATAGCTGCTATGAGAATAATTTTAATGCATTACCAAGGTTGCTCTAAAATTACAAACATCATAAAAAGTTTACAAGAATACTATACATATCCCAAATGTCAGGAATTTATTATTCATCAGTTGTAAAAATTTGCAGGTGTACAATCTTAGAGATTTTCAGTTCAGTTCTATGAGTCTTCCCACTCTGTGAATGGAAGAAGGAAACTTAGCTATTCTTGAATATCTTGCCTTTGGTTTCTAGGAGGTCTGAGTTTCAAGTTGTCCCTTATTTTCAGGATGGTTCTGAAATGATGCACAGACTGATTCTGTTTTGTCACTGAGCAGATCTTGCACCCTGTTCACCTCTGCTGGTTAAAATGCCATAGCCTGATTGTGGGCTGGACTTTCAGAAGATCACTGATGACTGAAGTAGAGAAAAACTCTTCGTATTCTTATTTTTATCAGACAAAATTCCCTTTGGACTTCCTTGTATTCTTCTTCAAGAAAGGCCTGGAATTTCTGCATTGGTAATTTTCAATATTTGGAAATATTTTACTAGGCTGTTCCCTAGCTCATATTTTTTGCATCTATGCATCATCTAAAGATAAATAATTTAATTCCAAATACAAAAGAAATTTAGCTCCACATTTAATGTGTTAATAATATGTTGTAATGTTAGCACATGGTTTGCTACACTAGATCCAGTTTGTTATTTTTTATGTGAGGTATATGTACGGTGACCAGACGTCCTTTATTTCAGAGGACAGTCCTTTATTTGAAGGCTCTGTCCTCTAACTTTATTTATTTCCTGAAATAAGCATATTGTCCTTTATTTTGAGAAATTTTTAGTACATTACAAGCCAGCATAGCTGTAAAATTTAACTTTGAAATGAATTGCCTTGAATTTCATGACTTTTTGAAGCGTGAACCGGCACTTTTGCGAAAAATCCATACATCTGGAAAGTATGAGCAATAAATTATTTAATATCCTATATTTACATATTACATTATTTAAAACTTGTTGAACATATTAATGTCTGCTTCTATTGTTTTAATAAACCTTTTGAATTACTAAGTTTTTTGGAGTTTTTTTTTATCAGGAGGTGTCCATAAATGATCACAATATTTGGGATAATTTTGACCCTGCCCATCCCCAATCCCCATGTCACAATTTGTCACACCTTGGAAGACCCCAAATTAACATTTGTGACGTCACACGAACGCACAAACCCCCACCCCTAACACAAAATTATTGAGCACGAATTTAAATTACCATAACCCCCCCCTCATGTCACGTTACAAGTGTCCTTTATTTTCTCCGAAAAAATATGGTCACCGTAGGTATATGTGAGATATCTACTCTATTCAATACGATCTGCAGGATGGTAAACCAATGGCATGTGACGAAAAATTTGGGCACATTATCACTGGCAGCATATTGATTGAAAAATAATGCATCTCTTTGAGAATATGCCATAAATTTGATTAATAACATGAAGTTATTAGAGGACTATAGATACTTACTTTCAGCAAAATCATTTGCTGCCTGACCATTTTCTAAAATTATTGTGTACTGAAGAGGATAACAAACTTACTGTGGTATGTGAGGAATTGCAAAATTCATGAAGAACTTTGCACTGAGCACCTCAAAACTTTTTACCGTCGCACAGCTTGTAAATTTAATGAAGATCAAAAACAACACTCTTGAGATACGTGATACAACAGAACGCAGAGTGGGATGAATTCAACAAAGTACATCAAACACCACATGGTTTGTAATATGAAACTTGCTATTAACTACTAGTATTTAAAAAGGGCCAAAGATGCAGTTGCTGGAATTTTATATCCAACACATATTTTCTTCACCATCTCAAATGCTTTTGTTCAGGGCATAAGTTTTACTGTGTGTGATATGAAATACTTCCCATCTCTGAGTGTAGTGCCAAATCTACTTACTTGTGGGGCACATATTAACTTTGCTCTTAACTCTGGGTTCTTCAGTCATATTATCATGCCACCAACCAATATATATGTGTATGACATTTGGCTTCCATCATAATCACAATTCTGAAGCCCAGGAAAATCCCAAATTTTACTTCAACCTGTTACCTAATAAGTTTATTTCTTACCATAGGAATGGTTTTCAACAGAATCCTAAATAACAGACTAACTGAACAACATCTGAAACAACTTGAACTAATTAAAGACTCTCAATTTGGCTTTCGAAAAGGACACTGCACTGCAAACCAAATTTTAAATTTAGTCGAGTTCCTAGCCTATGCATTCACTCAAACATCTGGAGTTGTGGCATGCTTTTTTGATTTTGAGAAAGCATTTGACTGCATTTTGCATGAAGGATTAATTCACAAATTCTGTAACATCCTGCTACTAAACAGCTTTATTAAGTTAATTATTTCTTACCTGAAAAGAAGAACTTTCCAAGTCAGATGTGGAGATTTTCTTTCTGATAAAAAGGTTATTTACAGTGCCCCAGGGGTCAAATTTTAGGCCCAAAATTTTCAATATCTACATTAATGATTTACCTAACCTGCTAAATTCTAAAATACTTAAATATGCAGATGATACCATCATATTCTCAAAATCTATGCACCGTCAACTGGTCATTCACAAACTTCAACTTCACATAAATACTGTTGCTAAATGGTCAACTCTGGCAGATAAAATTCAACACCTCTAAATGCTCAGTCACTCTTTATAAAAGATACAAAAGATGTTAAGAGTCAACACTGAAGTGAAAATTGAAAATGAAATTCTACCAGTTTAAAATTTTTACAAATATTTTGGGATTATTAATGATCAATGCCTAATATTCAAAGAACATGTTACTGCTAGAATAAATAAGGCAAATGCAGCATTTATGGCTATTTATTGCATTACAGGAAGAAAATTTAAATTAAGCATTAGCATGAAAAGAAATCTTTTTAACTTTATTTCGCCTCTATGCATACCCAGCTCAAGCAACTGCTTTGAAAACACAAAGATTAAAGATCAAAGTCTTGCAAGACAAAATACTTAGAGCTGTCGTAAACACTCCGTGGTTTGTTTAAAATTCCTATATATATCAAAAATTAAAGATAAAATGCCTCCATGACAAAATCTTAATCACAGCACATAATTTCTTTCAAAAAATGCAGAATTCTCCTCATCAAGCCATTCAAGTAATTGTAAACTATGATCCAACAGTTGAAAAGAACAATTCCTAGAATGATTCCACAACTCATGCTCGTGGTAGAAAATCTGTACATAAGTAAATAGAAATTTTCATTCTTCTACTTTTATTTCTCCTGACAAAGCATAAAATCTACTTTGAGTTACCTGGTAAAGCAGGTTAAAGAGACTTTACTTAGCAACTATTATTTACTTCATTTATTTAATCATCATTATTCAATGTTTTAGTGTATTTGTAAAAATTACTACCAAAGTTTGAGCGTGAACGTTCGCCATTAGCCACATCACACCACATGACTTTACTTACATTCATTTCCAATTCGTCAACCTGCAACACGTGACTTCAATCCTAAAATTGAATTTTCAGGATTATTTCTCCACTTACGCAATATACGAAAGTGAAAAATTTTCCCATTAGGTGGTTCCTGTCTATCACCAAGAAATCACAAGTTTCAACATTCTGCATACCTATAAGACTGAGTAAATAGTGTATATATGAATTGGAGACTGAATTTCAAGGCTTTAAGACCACAGTGCTTAATTCACTCACTGATAAGAACGTTGTGAATTTATAAACTAAGCTTTCAACTCTTGACTTTGAAAATTAACAGTGTTGCCTCTAGGTGTATGGTGGGATTGCACCATAATTCAACAAAATACAGTGACTGGGCTTGAAGCAATAAACTAAATCAACTAGTAAAAACTCGCAATAGTTGAAGCTAGTAGCAAAGTAATGATCCGTGACATATGGAACTCTGTTATGATGGGGTATGTGATCTCTGTTCATGGAATACTTTCAAAATCATAAATACATTTTATTTGCTATTCTATGGCTTCTGATATTGCAGCCATGCATGCTACTTCGTACACTCAGTTCTGACTACTGTGGGACAGTGAGATATGCCACTTTGCATCTGTTGTTTTTATTCACAAGACTGATCATCAAAGAAAGTTTCAAGTTTATTATCAGAAGTCCCACAGCCCTCCCCTTTAGATCTACCATGATACTGCCTGATAGTTCAGTACCTTACTTCAAGAGAATGAAGAACATTTCCGGTTATAAGATGATAATGCATATGACATACAGAAGATTCCATTCTGAAGATGCTAGGAGTTTTTGATAACAGTATCATACTTACAGACTATGCCCACTGAGATGTTCATATCTAACTAATCTAGACCTCTTTTTCAGAGGGACTTAAAACAATTTGTGAGTGTAAAATAAATAAACTAGCAACAACAAAGTTTGGTAATACACTTAAAAATTTGAACACAAAGCCTGAACGCTAGTAGAAAAGTAAATTCTTTACATGTTAAAAACATAAATTCAATTGAAAAACAAAGAAAAGTACAAATTTGTATAAAACGAAAACTTTGTAGATTCGTTGTTTTATTTAAGTGTTTGTTTCACTTGAACTGTTTTAAAAAGTACTGATGATGCACATGCTAACCTAATAATAAATTAAATTCACTTATCAAAGAAAAATATGTGACAAATGCAAAGAATTTTTGTTAGAAAGTTTAATTGCACATTCAAATAAAAAACGCTGCCAATAAATTTCCTGTCAAGCTGAATTCTCAAAGAATCCAAATTTCGTTTGTTTATATGCAAAAATCAGTGCAGATAACAGACATTCAGAACTATTAAAATCCTGTTGTACTTATTGTATATATATATGTGTGTGTGTATTGCAAAATTTCCATTAATTTCATAAAAACTAAAAACGTATGAATACCTTTTTTTGTGCCTCTGAATTTTTCCGATCAGTATCTTGTCTGTGAGCATCCAAGCATTTCTGATAGCGCAACTAAATAGTTTGAAAAATCATTAAATATCAACACTACTTTTAAAAGAATCCAATAAGAAACATATTTCAAATGATAATCTTAAAAAGAAACATACTTTGCAAGCAGCTTCAATAGTTTTGCATAGAGCACCTGATGAAGGCTCACAGTAGAAAACATGAGCAACAAACTCATCCTGAGCTGTATGCACAATAAATCCACAATTCCTGAAAAAGATCAGAATCTGAACAGTAAAATCTCATTTTCTGATACTGTGGTGGTTATACAAAAAGAGAATATCACAAATTTATAGAAGTGCAAAAATACGTACTTGACATTCTTCCCAATTCCAAGAAAGGATAAAAAACGCACCCGACATTCTGCTAATTGCTTCCCCTCGTCCTAATGCAAGAAAAAATACATAACCTATATTGGAGCTTTTAAAATAATATTTTGCATTTTTTTGTAGTAAATCATTTAAATATACCTCCGTAATGAATATTTAAAGATATCACATCTATGTAACCAGTAACTATAAAAACTCATTTTTTTATAATTAAGAAAAGTACATACGTCATCAGATGCTAAGTACACAAATATTTTAAGATCATCATCATATCAAGTCTAATGTTTTTATTTTTGAAATAAATTAATGCACTAGTGCTTCAGAAGAAAGTCCTAATGTGTTAATTTAAATGGCTTGAAAGAAAATTATTCCCCCCACAAAAGTACATTTGAAATAAACATTTTCCCATAAGCAAATTCATTACAATGTAATTATATTGAATATATAAGAATGACAATATATGACTCAAAAACAGCACTGTATCCTTTATAAGTCTGTATCAACAACAAAACCATAACAAAGATGATACAGTTCACAACATAAAGATTTACAGATTTGCTGTATCACTACATGAAAAAGGACCCTATTTTAATTTACGATAAAATGGCATTTAACTATTTTGTTACTATTTCATTAATAAATAAAATCAAAATTATTTTTCTTTTCCAAAGGCTTTGAAAGAAATCTTGATTTCCAAATTAAAACTAGAATGTGTTTACTTACTTCTCTAAATCACACTGGTCCATCAAACTACATTAACCCTCAGTTGGAGGGGGTGGCGTATGGTACAATTTTAGAGGGGTGGCATATGAAGTATACCAGGGCATTTCTCAAGCCTCTGCTTTATATTTGAAACTATTTAATCTTATACATTATATTAATAAAGTGATTTATCATAGTAAAAAGGATATAAGAAAATGAGTAACAGAAAAAGAAAAGTAGAGATCGAAATTATGAATTTCTAATTAATTCAAAAAATAGAATTGTACTGGAAATGTAATTGTTAGTTATATAGCATATGTTATTTCCTGTATTAAAATTATAAGAACATAAAACAAATTTACAAATTATAAATATTTCGTAAAGAAAAGTTCAGTAAGTATGTTTAAAAAACTGTATATTAGCTGCATATTGAGAAACAAAAAAACTACATGATGTTTTGTTTAGGTCAGATAAAAAATTATCTTTAAAAAAAAATATATGTTTCTTCATTTAGCTTCATCCTCTTAGAAGCAGGTTCATCATGACAGGCTTTCTTGTCTAATCTAGTGGTCTCCAAAGTGGGGTATGCAAAATGATACTTGAGGGTACGGCAAAGAAATTGGCTCACAATCACTTGCAAGATCATATGATCAGAATCCAGAAAAGGGATATTTAGAAATGCTTCCATTATTGTGTGATTTGTGTCTGAAGATGAAGTTAATTTTAAACAAATAAAAAGTTTTATATCTACATATTTAAAACATTTGAAGACAGAATTTTGTAACAATTTACCGATCTTCTTACAACTAAAAAAAAGTTTTAAAGGGTCATGAACCCATTTCCCTGAACTGTTAAAATAGATCATCTTTCGATTCCAGCTCAAAAACAATTAACTGACATGAGAGACAGAACAATGTTACAATCTGGATTTAAGGAAAATTTCATCAAAATTGGTGGATGGGGTTGAAAACCAAATATCCAGATTTAATAAGCTCAGCAATGAATGCAATCTTAACATTTTGTTCTACATACGTGTGCGAAGTAGCATTTTCTGCAATGACAACAATTAAAACCAAATACAGGAATAAATTAGAATCAAATCTTCATAGGAATGCAGTAATAGAGGGCACCAAACCAGATTTTTAAGCCATTACTAACAAACACAATCATGTTGTTCACATTGAATTCTAATTCAAAGTTTAATTTAAATGCATATGCATTGTTTAAAATAAATAATTTTATTTTTGGTTCATCCTTTGCTCCATTAAAATATGTTGCAACAATTAAATACAACTTACAAGCAATTTCTTTACTTCCATCAAGAGAGAAGAAGGCAGATTTTTGCAAAATACATCACATGTTTTTGTGGTGAACATTTGCCACCCTCTCTACAAATGGAAGAAACCTTTATTCTAGCACTTTATAATATCTAAAGTAGGAAGCATTTTTGTAAACAGAGAATCAATGTGATCTGCAGCATTCAAGGCAATGCCATGTTCAATAAAAAAAACTGTGTAAGCAAGCACTTGATCCGACTAATTTAAAAATCAGTACATTTTTTAAACAAGATAATGATATTCTGATTTTTATTCAAATTTTCAATACTTTGCTTACTTTTATACTATTTTTATATCAAATATTTTACAGTACCACTTTTCCTACAATCAGAATAAATATATGTTGCAAAATACAAACGAATTTTCCTAATGTGATTTTTTTAACACAAAAACTCATCATTGTAAGCTGGTTCAAATACTAACAATAATCTTCTTCTTACTCATTTATTAAAAATTTTATCAAACTATGCCAATTTATCAACCATGCATAAAGATACTACTTGATACATTTTGGGATCGCCAATCCAGCTCAGGTTTTCATGTTAGTTAGATGAAATTTTGCCATACAGCTAGTAAAAATACATCAAACATGAACTTTAGACATAAAAACAAGAAATTGGGGAGCTATATGCTTTATTTTCATGTAATTTTACTACATCAGTGAAGGTTAGGTTATTTGAATATAGTAAAGCCACAAAGGCTACATGCCTAAGATGAGGGATATTTTTATGGAGTACTTTCTGATGGAAATAGCTTGTATTCCTCTTATACATGGGGAAAACCAACCATGTAGCCAGTCTATTTGCTTAAGATCGAACCCAAACCAGGTTCTTAAACACTTAGTCCCTGGAGAGGCGTTATATTACTGGAAGGTTAATGACACAACAATACAGTTAATATATTTGAAAAAAGAAATGCAGAAGAAATTCATGCATTATCAACTGAGATGCTGCGAAGGTAAAATGATTTTTGAGCTAGTAAAAACAACGATTACTTCCCAAACTTAATCATGCAAAGTGTACAAATGCAGAAATAATGAAATCTTCCCTCTCCATTGGAAAAAATATATTTGTCCAATCATTATGAAGAATGCTCAAAATTGATCATATGGTTATTGTTCATCACTGCAAGATATATTTTGAGTTTAATGAAAAGTTAAATGAAAATATGTGCTAAAAATAGATCAGGTGACAAATCACTGTGATGGAACAATTCTCAGATTTTTATAAAAATAACATAAAGTGTCTTAAAGCATGAAATTATAAAGTTACGGTGTACAATTTCTGCTATTCTTTTTATAAACCACCACCAGAAATCATGATTTTCAAAGCCTTAGTAGCATGTTTAGATGCATGCATATCAATGACTACGAGAATGAAATTTAAGAAATCTCCTTATGCAACAGTTCCTAAAATTTTTAATTCCAAAAGTATATTGCAGTAGGATTCCAGGGGTATTAAAAGGGTTTTTCCATCAAAGTTATTAGCTACAAAATTGAAAAGTAAGAGTAACAAGTGAAATGTTTATTCTAAAGAATCAATTTGAAACAAAAGTTATCTGATGAAAACTATTTCACAAGCATAGCTGCAAACCTAAAAATAAAAAAAACTTGGAGGTTTCTCAAGTGAAAATTAGAAATTTCCAGGAGTTTTTGAACTGCTCAGCAACATCATTTCAAAAGAACTTCAAACTGAGTTAAATTCACTTTCCAATGCAAGATTTAAGTAAATGAACTTTTTATATGATTCTGATGTAAAGTATTATTATAATATAATATTTAATTAAATTTAATCTGCTTGGCTAATTTCATTTCATAAGAATTTTGCAGTTTTAACTGAGAAAACCCTATGTAAGGAAAGAATGGTTTCATTTTTCATATTTACTTTTAAATACAATGAAAATAATAAATCATGTACAAATTACTGTGTAGACAAATTTCATAATGTACCATACATTCATGCAAAACAAAATTAAGTGTGCATATTAAAGCATTAAATATTTACTGAATATTAATACAAAATTCTGAAAAAACTCTACAAATATCTACACACATTAAGGCAATTCAGAACAAATAAAATTTAGTAAGAAAAACTATGCCAAAATTCATTAAGGGTGGAAGAATGGAATTTGTACAGTTTTAATATCATTAACTCAATATTGAAACATTTTCATTAGTAAATGCTAAAATTTCAGAGATTCATTGACCTATCAGCAGAGCAGAAAAGGTGATGAAAAATTGGAGAAGTCGGAAAGGAAGTTAAACTGAACAACCTCAAACAAAAGGAGTACTAGATACTGTAGTGTTTAAAGAAAAACCCAAAATTGTTCATGACACCTGGTTAAGGAAAGACTAAAAAACAAAAGCTTTAATTAAGCTCAAATATTTCAGATTCACAATTCATACATGTTTAACGCAGTAAACCTGTCTAAGTATGGCAAAAATTAAGAACAGTTCATGAACATATAAATTTCACAAATAGATTCTTAGAAAAATTAGATATAATGAAACTTTACAAATGCAAGAACATATTAAGGCAGTATTCAAATTAGCTAAAAAGCTGAATAGGATAGGTAAAGAAAATAAAGTAATTTGATAGCAATTTTAATTTCTTTTTTGCCAAACTGTTACAATACATTAATAACTGCTATAGATGAATACTGTAGACATGATGAAATCAAGCAAGTTCATTATGATTCAATTACTTTAAAAGGTAAGAGTGAGGATAAATCAAAATATAGCATTAAAAGATACTGCACCTTTCATCACAGAAATAACTACTTTAGATGTACATGTTCTTACTTAAAATGCAAGACTAGGTCTTTTTTGAAAGCAGGTGTAAATAAAAGTGACTTGGGAAAACATGCACAAAATCATAAAAGTAACACTAAGTCATACAGTTCATAGTAAATCATAAAGTTTGTGTGTTTGCCAAACAGCAAACACACAAAAAATAGGAAATATGAAATCAAGTTAAGATAAAGACAGCAAAAGTCTTAAGGAAGGTGCTCAAAAGTAG